GCGAAGCCGGGGCCGGGGGCGGGAGCGGAAGCGGAAGCGGGTTTAGCGGGGCGACCGCGAAGGAATGCGCCGGCGCAGACGCTTCGGTGACAAGGCTCCAGTGTCGAGGAATTGCTCCGCGAAGTGTATCGGCTTTGAAGGCGCACTCGAGGCCCGAAGCAACCGAGGCTTAGCGCGACGGAGAATTTAATTTCGCGAGGGGATTACACGCGGGCGGGGGCTGCGGGGGCGAGCAGCCTCTCGAGCTAATCCACGGGCGGGGAGGCGGCAGGCGCGGCACGGGCCGCAAATAAATTAACTTTTCGGCGCGCGCGGGCGCCGTCCCCGCCGAGGCCCACGCCCCCCTTCTTTCTAAAGATCCCTCATTTAAGCAGCCAGCGGCGACGCCCGCCACCGCCGAAGCGATAAGCGCGAACGCGCCGCCACTTGCGTCGTCTGCACGCGAACACGGGTTTCGGAGCTCAGACGAAAATCTCGTCAGACGGGATGCAACACCGAGAAATAACGGTAATATCCAAACGAGGATACGTCATCTGTTGTGATGGTATCTCCTTAGTAAAATTCACTTGACGGCAAATTGCAACTACTATTAAGTTAATCTTCACTACATACAGAATAATTGGAAAAAAGCTATTCGTGCTGCAACTGTATTTATTTTTTCGAATTATCTGTAATGGTTACAAAATGTATTAATATTGAAATTTCTATACTTTAGCTCTCATTTGAATAATGGAAACAAGAAAATAATACTAAGGAATAATTACGTTAAGGTAGATATATAATCTCCTATATTGAAGGTGTTCGTTCCTAGAGCAGGTTCGAAAAAAAATAAATTTCTACCGATCAAACCTCAAATTACACTACAAATTACACAGATGACTATTAATATTCGGAAAAAAGGGTACAAGAAAAATACTAACGACACAATATTGAGGAATATATTACATTACGTATTGATAATGACGTAAAAATTTTCGTTCTTTTTAACTTAAATCCTACAGGTTTGGTAAAAATACACAAGAGAGAGGTGAAATTGACAGGAAGAAACTACTCTTTTGTCAGATACCAAGGACGCACGACTTCTCAAGAATAATTTCAGCATCCCCCAGGAAATTGCTCTCAGCTTCCTGCTATTATAGGCAAACATGGCGAATGATTATATCTTGATCATTATGACAATGCAATAGAATTCTGGCGACGTTTATGATGCGTATTATCATTCAAATTCATAAATCTTGTGAACGATAATATAGATCCAGATAACAATCCGGACGAGAAAACAGAAAGATGAGAGAACTGGCTTCCATGTGCCACACCAGGGTTTT